GTGTTTTTTAAGTACATCATTAAATTCTTGGTAGGCATTTCGCTTCGTTGTTATTCAAATTCAAATTCAAATTCAAAAGTTTTATTTCAGATAAAACATCCATATTTATGTTAGTAGTAGTACAACTTAGCCTAATGTTAGTAAATTATAATAATTATATGTTGATTACTTTATTTGGATAAGTGAGTCTGGATACTTATCCATCTACGTAACAGGGGAGAGTCCCACCGGTCAATGAACACACTCAGGATGCCATTGGAGGAAGAACGCAGGCGCGCCAACATTGAGGCGCATCTCTTCCGCATGATCGCGGCGAACCCATCCACACATGCGTCCGCGAACATCCCTGACGCGCTACATCGCCACTGCAACCCCAAAAGCACCCTAAATGCGCCATTGTACTGCACGCGCAGATCGCTGTATGCCCGCTGGGTATACATGGTCCACAAGCTGCACGTGTAAAACGACTGGCAAAAGGCCTTAAAAAGAGTTATTTTTACGGATTCCGTACAATGTGCAAACCTGCGGGCCAGCATGTTGCAGCGTACAGCCAGCGACCTGCGCTCCCTGTCTATATCTGCATTGTCTTTTAAGTCATCAGTGACCCAGTGACCCAAATACTTGAACTTCGAAACCCGACCTAATCGAGACCCAGAGAGTGAGAGTTCAGGCAGTTGTTTGTAGTTTAAAGTAGCTGATTTAAAAACCAACCATTCACTCTTATGGGTATTGTATTTAAGTCCGTGAGTAACCGCATAGCTTTCACAAATTTTAAGAAGTCTTCTCATTGCGCTGATAGATGGACACAGCAGCACCATATCATCAGCGTAACTGATGTTGTTCACGCAGACACCGTCAACGTGACATCCAATTTTAGTGCTACTGAGTCTACCCATCAGTTTGTTTATGTATAGGTTGAAAAGACGCGGAGAGGTCAGACCTCCCTGCCTTACACCACAGTCAAGCCCATACATGTCAGAATAATTACCAGCCCAATTAACAGTATTCTTTTGACTACTGTACCAATATCTAAACAATGATATCACATCAGACGGGACAGTAGTATCATGCGTGAGCTTGTGCCAGAGCAGATCATAATTGACCAGGTCGAAAGCCCTCGATAAATCCAAGAAACATGCTATAACAGGAGTCTTTCTGTCTATGTAATATTGGACAGTCTGCTTAAGGCATAAAATTGCACTATCCGTTGACAAGTTAGGTCTAAAACCAAATTGACCATCCTCAAGAGCGATATGTTTAGCAAGAATTTTATCAAGCAGACTATCCAATACCTTAGCACAGATAGTGGCAAGCGATATCGGCCTATAGTTGGAAATATCTGAGGCGTCACCAGTCCTATTCTTTATTACTGGTACAACTATCGTTTTACTCAGTTCCATAGGTAAATAACTATGACTTATACATAAGTTAAAAATCAGAGCAAGTACTCGCGGTAAGTGTACCCCAGCGTATTTAAGATGTTCGACGCTGAGGCCGTCGTGACCGGGCGACTTTCCCCTCACCATTTTTTGTATAATTCTCGCAACTTCTTTAGCGGAAAACCTGACAGATGGCGCTCCGGTCACGGCCGCCCCTGCGCCACTATATGACGGTTCACTATAACCGCACAAACGCGGATTAACATTAAAATGTTTTTGAAAAGCATTAGCTATATCAGCGGGATCGCTCATGCCCGCGACGCTCACCGGTACCTCCGACCTATGTTTTAATTTATTCGTTAATTTCCAAAACCTATTAAATTGTTTACTTTTATGACAAGATGCCAGTATATCCATTTTAATTTTTTCTTGATTATCTTGACAATATTTTAATTTATTTTTAAAAAGTTTTCGTGATGTACACATATTTTCATAAATAAATCCAGAAGTAGGTTTGTTGTACAACAACCACGTTTGATAACACAGTCGGGCATCGCGATGAGCCTCGCGCACATGCTTGTTCCACCCCACCACATAGTTTCCCTTATGACGCTTTTTATTAGAGCCAGCATGAGTGAGTTCGGCTCCGCCTTTTAAAATACAAATCAATTCATTATACAACCTATCTATTATCAACTGATGATCTGTGTTATGACACATATTATCAGCACAATTACAAAAATCTTGAGGAAAATCAATCTGCTTTAAGTTGCTATTACAGTAATCAAAATACTTATTTATCTGTTCTAAATCCCTCTCACCCCACATAACCTTGTTACGATAAATGATGGATTCAATAATTTTAGGTTTGATAAGATTAATATTACACTCTATTAACAACGGAATATGGTCTGAAACGTAAACGCCATATAAAATAGAAGCACTATTCACTAACTGTCTGGCGGCCTCCGTGACAACACAGTGATCTAGCCAGCGGAGGGAACCGTTTGAGGAGCCAGTAAAAGTATGCGAGTCTTGCGGCAAAAGTTCCATATCAATGCAAGACCATGATTGATCAGCACAAGTTAAAAGTAACTCACGTGAGAATCGTGTTCCTGGGTGTGCGTTAAAGTCTCCCAACACAAAGACCGACTCCACTTCACTGCTCTCAATCACTGAGATTATCTCACTTAGACAACTCGTAAACTCGGTACGATTTTCGACACAGTCAGTGGGCATGTACACACTAAATATTAGCAAAGACCGCTCGCCCTGCGCTATCTTAATACACACGATACGATTACTTACACAATTTATAACCGATACCGACGCAAATAACGATTTCCTCCACAGCAGCGCCACACCTCCGTACGGTCTTCCAACCAGAACACCATCAGAAGTGTCCACCGCTGATTTCCCAGTGTACGCGAAGTCTCCATCAATGGTTGCTAAAAAGGGCACGTCGTGTGGCAACAGCCAAGTTTCCTGTAATGCTATCACGTCGGCTCGTGCACACAATTGACGTACGCAATCAGCTGATCGGAAAATACTTTTACAATTGAATGTACATATTTTAACGTTTGCCATAAAATTCATTATATGTTTGTTATATTCTCAACACTGTGCTGCTTATTTACTTTTACTGTATTTTTCTTAAAGTAAATAAACTGTCTAAACCGTATGCCTTCAGGCCATATTTTGTCATCCAAAAATTTATTCATTTTATGTTTTGAGACAAATAATTTAAATGCGTTATACGGTCTTTCAGACGTTATGATTCTTCCCTCATTCATTCTGGTTCGTTACTATTATTAGACCTACTATACTAGTTGTGTTTTATGCTCCATTGAGCTAATTGTTAACTATTGTTCTACGGTGCTAGTCCGTGTTATCACTGAATTATGGACGCATTGCCTCACCGCGTCCAAAGCAGTTATTATCTATATTAATGCGATGCTTAGATACGACTAGATCTTAGTTATGATTAGATCTACGTCACGATTTCAACCCATATTCAGTAATGAAATCAACACTTCCATTTCATATTTTATCAAAATATCTTGTTTGTTGTCTTTTCTTTGAAATCTTAAACTAGGCAATGAATATTCTTTGCTGTGCTTCGTTCACGGACTTCAAACAAGTTTGAAGTATTGTTTGTTTCTCGATATACACTTTCACGACTTTAAGGTCATATACATACCTATAATCATTACCTTTACTTATGACTGCACAGTTGGCGCGGTGGCTGGGCAAGTGGCTGCCGCTCAACGTGCCGCGGGTTCAATTCCCCTGGGAAACAACCATTTGTGTGATCCACAGATTGTTGTTCCGGGTCTGTGTGTCATGTGTATGTGAACTTGTTTGTTTGTAAACGCACCCACGACACAAGACAATTCTAGTGTGGAACAAGAACAACAACAACAACAATAAAAAAAAAACAAATATTCCGACTGGCAATACCAATGAAGGAAGCAGCAGACGCAATAATTATTACTCTGGATATTTACAGATTTGATATAGAGGTTACATCAAAATTTTTGTCCACAGAGCTAAATGCGACGCGAGCAACCGACATCTCCGACGCGGAAGAGGACGTATTATACCAAAAAGACGTGTCCTTCTCAGCTGAACTAGAAATAGCACCGTCCAATAGAATTAGTAAACCTACTGTAAGCTTAAAACATATCGACGACGATAGAACGCAAAGACTTACAACCACACTGCCAATAGTTTTTAACACAAGAAGCACACCAAACTATACGTACACAGGAGAGAAGTCCAAACAAGTGGACGGATTGAAGAGTTTAATAGAAGACGGAGTTAGTAAAACGGATCTGAACATCATAGCTGATGACACGAAGGAGAATTTATTGGAAGCCAACGATGCGAAGGTGACGACGCAAGGTCCCAGTTTAGAACAAAAAGTAAGTCGAAAGAAACGTATTCACGAATTTTTACAAACTATCTTAACTCAGAATTTTTTAAAAGTGATTTCATATATATATATTTTATATATAAAATCCCTCAAGTTTTTACTGTGCAAACGCCACTTACTTTGATCTTACCATTCAGTGTTTTTAAAGTCACATTGAAATGAACCAATTCTATGAAGGAGGTATAAGCAAGAAATTCAGATATTCTATAAAATACTATTTTAAATAACTCAAAAGTAATCAATTTCTATATTTGACTTTGAGGACCGAAAGTCGTCAAAGTTATTGATTTGAAAGTACCTAAGGCAACAGATTTTGGTAACATGATAAAAGACAATCTTTACTTTGTCGATGCTAATGTTGATGGAGATTGTTTTGTTTAACTTTCAATTGTAGCTCTAGGATTGGTTGAAATAGAACGCTGTTTCTATTGGCTAGCACTTTTGTTATTAAAACAACATAGAGACTGGTATTTTAGACCGATAATTCTCTTAGGCTGTCTACAGAAGGCCCAAGAATAGCAATTCTCATCAAACTTTTAACAGTTTCTATTTAATTGAACAAACTGCGTTGGTTACATACAACAGTTTGCTTACGGGTTTCGTTGACAGGTAACAGGAGTCAACAGTTAAACACCATACATACTGACAATTTTCTGGAATATGAATACCCTACGCAGTAACAAGAATTAATCACAATATTGATTAATCTTTTGCATGATTATTTATACGATACGATCCTATTGCAATGCGACTAGCAACATAACCAGGGAAATATGACGATCCTATTAGTATTTTATCTACTCCTTCTTTAATATTGTGTTCCATCTACTAGGTACCAGGAGCAACAGCGTCGCCTCCTTGGACGGCAGCAGTAGAAGCTTGCGACTGTGAGAGCTGTAGCAATGAACGGTGTCCATGTGCAGGCAACCCCAACACATGCAAACCAGGTAATGTTGAGACTCTTGGGACCTATACAGCTTTCAGATAATTATACTACCTCGTTAGTAGGTATCCGATCTCAGATGTACGCTTCCTCGAGAATTTTGGAATAAGTTATTGGGTTATCGATTTTTGAAATTCTCAAGATATAAGTCTCATGGTACTGAGTCTGGTGTAGTAGGTCTAGAAATGGCAATAGATTCACGTTCATTATAAATCACTACTTTGGCTATCTAGCAAACATTTAACTGTGTGCCACCAGCTATATCTTCGGTAAAATGCCATTGATGATTTGGCTGTCCTAACTCCTAAAGGTATTTATAGTAATTTTTGAACTTTCCTCTACGTACACCAGAATATGTCCCTCAGGCTGGTCCCCTCGACGACAAGGGAATTGATGAACGATTTTTTTTCCTTCTTACCCCCTGATTGTAATTATTTTAGGGGACAAACGGGGTTAAAACGGTTCCATCATCCGCCCGGTAACTACTGAGGGATAAAATCGAACAAAGTATTTTCTCTTTTTTCACCCAAATTAAAACGTAACCTTATAGACTTGGGTATCTTTGTCTGTATGACCTAAAATGTACCTGTTACGTGAGACACGTGAAAAGGTCAGGTATATAAGTATGTAGACTAGACGTAGATATATTGTCGATAGTGTTTGACGCTCAATATCTATATATATATACCATTGGTTCTATCTATGGTCTTGAAAGTTTCGTAAGAATTATCAAAATCATAATATTATCATACCTCAATTTTCCAGTCTACTGCATATAGCTATAGCCACTATGCGATAATAGAATTATTGAACGCAAATATTTTTGCCCAAAATTTGATCCGTCCGATCCGCTTGGGATGACATTCGTAAGATAAGGTGAACGGTCTGAAATTCCAGATCCGGACAAATATTTAAATGACACCCTGGTATTTGGAGGCGGAATATATTTGCATATTACGATTTGTGTACGCAGAAATTGTGACGAAGGAATTTTAGGAGCAAGGGATGAAGGGCCGAGTGAGAAATCATTAATATCATAATTTTAAAAGCTCCATCGACCAATTTGCCTAACTAAACAAAGTTTTACTCCCCCAATATCCTTGAGATTCAAAGTAAAACTCAATGAGAGCAATTAAAGGAACCCGCAAAAGATAATGCTTACCAAAGAGTTTGAATATCGGCCACCGAACGGTCGCCATTTTGAATGATTGCCTTTTGAAGTGCTTACAAACTGTTTATGAGATGACGGAGTTTAATCGACTTGTTTTGCTATAGAAAATGTAGTACGACAAGTTCTTATTGTAGAAATATTCGTCTTAAATCGTGACTTAGGACAAACCGCAGTGATTCCGCTCGGAAACTTTAGCAGGAAGAAGTTTAACACTGTTTGTGACTTGCGTTTAGTCCGTCTCTCATAATAATGGATGCAAATCTCTTTCAAACTTCCTTATTTAACTAAACTTCAAGTCTATTGATCTCTTAAGGAACAAGCAGAGATATCTCCGTACCTATAAATATATTTCTTACTGAGATCCTTAGTAAAACCACAATATCTAAAAACATCCAATAATGGCCCCAATCCGGAGTATACTTTGTTTTAAGACCTTCCCAGACATATTATTTTATCATTTACGACGTCAGTATAATGGCTATAAACAGGAAAATAACGTGAAAAACATTTTTACCCTCTAAATATTGAACTGGGTACATGTAATTCAGGTCTAATGGAGGGTACAGTAATAGCAGAAATATTTCCGAAAAGATTTGAGGTAAAAATATTAAATTTCCACCGTCTGTGAGTATCCAGGCCTGGTTACTGTCAACTACAACGCAAAGAGAAATTGATTTAGCAGCCGACTCATTTCTTTAATGTGAGTAACACAGAAGGCTAGTTTTATTTGAAATAGCTAGTAAATGTATTGTGAAAGAAAATAATGGTGCCCTTGGTTGCTACTTTAGGTAAATGAAGGAGAATTCCGTCCAAAAATCAACTCTAAGCACCTAAAACATCTGACAATATTAATGAGCTAACACAAGGTATTAACGAATAACACAACAAACAAACATAATCCACCTTCTAACTAACACTGCAGCATGGCGTTTATGAAGTCGGTTGTATAACACGGACCGGAAGGCACACGGCCGCCATTACCACCGGACCACTTCCGCAACACGAGCCAACTCTCCCCAAACTTCACCCTGACAGTTGTTATTGAGTTCTCCTCGCACTCTCTGATCCGATTATGTTGAATTCAACTCTAAAATTAAACGCGTTTACCTGCACCGAGATGATGTGGATGGAACTTTACACTTTTGGTGATAGGGATTAAATGGGAGGCAACGGGTTCCTAAGTTCTTCAAAGCTTTAAGCCTTATGGAAGCTGTTAAAATAGATGTACATATTTGAATCATTTAAAGTCGTTGCAGATACTTTATATTAATTTCATTTTGTTACTGCAGACAAGACGCGATAAAATTTGCATACCTAATACGAATCGATACAATCGATTCCACATTACTAAACCCAACTATATCAGTAAAAACTACTGTTTAGATTCAGAAATAAATACTCTTTCCGAAACAAATGAAGCGGCTCAACGTGATCGTATCGCCCGAATCGATTAAACTAAGTTACGAGACGACTCGAGTAAAATTCATGTTGTACCTGTAAAACTTTACTGAAATCACAACTTTTGACACCGACCGCATCGCTTTGCTTGCGTGAACCAAGCCGGAGTCACCCCGATTTTTCGATTAGCCACCCCTATAGGGAGGTTCGGTTCCCCTTCCCTAATCTACGTGTCCCGGAGAATGCAAGGCGCTTGAATTATATTAAGTAATATCGGAGGTCCTCGATGTACGGGCCTCTGGTCTCCTAGACATACAGAGGGTCACATGGGAGAAAATAGCTGAATTATCTACCGCCTTTACGACTGAATCGAAGTTGATTTTGTACGCAATGTCGACGGAATTTCTGAAGCAATGTCCCTTATTCCTCTCTACTGTGTTTTGATTCGAAATGGTGAGGTATTTCGATAACATTTTGTGTTCTTCTGTAGTAGCAAGCAAAATCTTGGTTTCGTTGATCTCAGTAAAATTATTTTCCGATCTGGATTTCCTTTGTCCATAATTGCATAAATTCTACATATTGTGCTTTAGATAAACGCTTCTCGAGTCCGAAATTATATCATATCATGGTCACTTAAACTAGTCCTTGGTAATTAGTAAAAGTACTAAATGACAAATTGTGATGAAATGATGAAAATTTATATCTAAGGTATAATACTGTCATGTCTCTCACATGAATGTTATGGTAAATAATAAGTTCTATTAGAAGCAGTTTGGTCTCTCACAGAATCGTTTTCACGTCGTGTCAGAGTATTAGAATGATAAATGTAACTCGGAAACTATTGTCCGGACCCACTTCACCCGTACACTGCCCTTAGAACAAAGACAATTATAATAATTACAAGAATTAAACCATGATAAGCATTATAATTTCCTTACGAGATAAATAAACTTTCAGAATATGTCGGTACCAAACTCCTTACGAAAGCACTGATTCATTCCTTCCATACATTATTAATCTCAAGATTCTACTAAAATATTTGCCTTATCTTACATACCTGCCTGACGTGGAGATGGAACCCGATACATAACATTAGCCACGCTACGGTAGGCAGTTACGCCCAACAAAACTTAGAATAACATTAAAAACACAGAATGTAATAAAGTGGAGTATGACCTGCCGTAAGAGATCAGCTTCATTTCATTATAAGCGGGGTACAAAGGCCGTAAGCCGTGACAAACGGCGCCAGACTGCTTTTATTGTTACCGTGCCGTCTTTGTCATAATTAAGAGGTCTCATCTCGGTACGAACTCGGTTCTTGGTGAAATTACTCAATTTTCTTCCTTACAGATGTGGCCGCATTTGTTTATGTGTCCTTAAACGCCCGTGTAATATTCCTTTGGTACTTTGTTATCGAATGTTTGTTTTATTGTTTGCTGCCGTTCGTGCGAACTTTATACCGAGCGGGGGTGACTTACGCGGTGTTTATTTGTATAGGAAGTACTTACAGGTGTTGTGTAAATTGAGGGCGTATTGGAGTGTTAAGTTAATTGTGGGTACGATATGTACGCAATGTACGATTCTTTACCGATACTTGATCGTAGAAGCTTCGTACTTCACAACTAAAGTAGTTAAATAGCTGACTTGACTTGGATTTGGTAATAAACTACAATTGAATGACATGGAACCCTTTCATTAAATCTCGTACTTGACGGAATAAAACATTAATAAGGAACTTCGACCAAAAGTTAAGTCTATTCTGCATTTGATACTGTAACAAATAGAATCCCATTACCACGGCATTGTCAAAAGCACATAAAATACTACTAAATGCTTTGTCTGTATGTGAAACAACATTAATGTATGCGAAGGTAATCCCCGGCTCTGTGACTGAACACAGAATACAGATCATGCAAATCCGTGTCAGATGATTGTACGCTCACCGACACAAGTACATTCATGTGCGATACTTAATCTGGTGACTGACATGCTGACGAACCCTCATGATCCCGACACGAATTATTTATTTATTTATGTAAGAGTTTAGCTACTCTTGCGCGATTTCATCCGACACTCCGCCTACTTTGGGCGCAGCATGAATCATGTTTAATTGTCTACAGTCTTCCTCGACAAATGTAATAGGACACTTTTTTTTTCAATTTTAACCAGTACTTTCAAATTATTTCGAAGATTAACGCGTTTAACCAAAGACAAAATCTTCAGCTTTATTATTACCCGACTGACAAAAGAAAGGTTTTATGTATGGTATCAATTACATCGGAAATATTTGTAAACATAATTATAGCTGTTTCGAAGTTATATGGTGATTATAACACAGTATGTATTAGGACATGGATAGAAATGAGTTTTTATTACGCCTTTACCTCTTTGGTCCTTTGGTCTGTATTCAGCAGTACAACAGCAGCAGCAACCATATAAGAAGTAAAAACATTAATTTGACACTCTCATGTTATTTATGAGTTTGTAAAAAGAGAACATACCAAATGTGTTTCTGTCCTTGTCATTTTGGGTCTGACGTCATTGACGTGTCATTTGTTTTTCTGCTGGCAACGTAGCAGAATGAGAAAAATAGCATTTAGAAAGAGAACACGATGTATTTCTGCTCTCGTCATTTTGGGTCTGACGTCAGTGTCGTGTCATTTGTTTCCGATTTGGCAACGTTGTAGTGATATTGAAGGTAATCATTTTAATTTAACGAAGAATGTGTGGTGTCTAGAGAAGGAAGAGATTATTAGTGACGCCTAGTCCGCAGCAGTAGACTGAAATGAGCTGATGATAATGATGATGATGATGATAATTTGGTAATCTAAGTTAATACTGTTCAACGAACTTTATAAATAATTCAACTGAATATTCTAATAAGATAGCTAGCGAAACATGGTTGTACACGTATATATCCTTAACATAAGATCCGTCTACTATCAACTCCCTGCTAGGACTGGACTGTCTTAGTTTGATGTTATGTTGTAATTTCATTTAACGTACATTTTTGTCAACAGATGGCCGAGTATCCACGCCTCGGTTCTCAGGCGCGTCCTGGCTAGCACTGCGAGCGTTACGCGGTGCGTACAAGCGGGTGCGCGTTCGAGTACGCGTCCGTCCGGAGCGTGCACGCGGCGTCCTACTACTCACTGGAGAACATGATGACCTCTCTGGAGACTACCTCGCATTAATGTTAAGGAATGGACATGTGGAACTTAGGTTAGTGATAGTAATCTATTGTAGAAGTTAGTATAAAGAACATTTGTACGTTTCAAAGAAATTCTGCAGATCTTTCTTATAGTGCTCAAACGAATCAATTTCAATCTAGATTTGTTAATGAACATCTCTACAATAATGACTAACGTGCAATTGCTGTAATGTCTAGCTGCGTATTATGTGTTTGTTTTACAGTTTTATATAGGCCGAGTCTTGCGTATAAGAATTTTCTCATATAAAACGAAATCTTTAATGGACATAACGATGACATCAATTTTATGGAACCTCTTGCATTAAAGGAGCAATGACCCCACGTGATTTGATATCGTACAACCCTCATTCTTAAGTGGTTTATGTTTATATGAGAGAAGTGGTCACCCCATGGTAGTGTGACAAGTATCGACACACGAAGAAGGTGATATCCTTCATATAGGGTTTTAAGCAGTAGTAAGGGTCAATATTTACAATATTTTCTGAGTCCCCTTTAAGTAGAAACTGTGGGAAAATAAACATAATAATATGTTTCCGTTAAAAGGTCGTATGTATTTTATGGAGTGTGAAGGAAATGTAGACGAAACTTGGGACATTTTTAGTTGAAAACAAGCAACGCTACTTGTTACTTGTGAATATTTACTCTCGTCATACGTCATAATTCTGTTCAACAAATCTTCACCGTCTTCAAAGTGTCCCAATTCCCAAAAGATTTTTAACAGAGCTTTTCGTCTTCTATGAAACTGATGAAAATGACGTGTATTTAATAAACTTCTTTGAACAACATCATTAATTATGTTGCATTTCGGTACGATTCGTCAACATTTCCAATTGAACATTCACTATTCAGCTACCGAACAGATTCCCAGGAAGTGTTCCGTGTATTAATTAGCACGGCTCTAATTACCCGGAGCGGCTGCACTCCGATATTATTATCGATCCAGGATTACACTCGCCGCGTCCATGATTAACCAGTATTGTTCCAGAACACCACAATGGCGGCTCTTGGCTTGGATTAATTTCGCAATTTTAAAATCTCAGAATTTATTTCAACTTCTTTTTCGAGTTCTACGTACTAAGAAGTGCTTCTTTATACATTTAAAATGTTTCATCAGCAAGGTCTTGTTGTTTAAAGTGATCTTGTAGATTTTGCTTTGAAGCTTACGAGTCTTAACGTTTGACTGGCGTTCGCAATTGAAGAAAGTAAATTTATTTGATTTGTGATTTTAATAAATTCACTTTATATGTATATTGCCTTAGGTTACAAACACAGTAGGAGTTCAATATTTTTAGGGTTTCAAAAACGCCATTTTCATTATTAACACGAAATCAGAAGTACAGCTTTATTTATTCCTAAAAAAAGTATGCACGTAAACTAACACACACTACTTCTAAACTGAATATCTTTGTCCAGGTTTGATTGCGGCAGTGGTGCCGGCATCCTAAGATCACCAGAACCTGTGAGACTTGGACATTGGAACACCATATCAGTATACAGACATCGGTGGGACGCGTGGCTTCGACTCAACAATGGGAAGAGAGTTCGAGGACGATCCAAGGTAAGCTTAAACTTAAGTAAGTTTAATAGAAAGACGATAATTTTACGAAATTGTGACAGGTTTATTACCTTAAATATATACTACAACGTTCTGATTGTTTCCAGTCTTTTCAGACGTATAATCTGACGTAGATTGTCTAAATTAACGTACAAATACGACGTCAAAGTCCGTTATTTCAATCCTTTGAGACAAATGCCATGTAAAGGCAGAATTTAACATATTGTTTAATATGAAAACAGTAACTGTACATTTTTTCACACAAAAAAAGAACTTTATTTTTAAAAACAATTCGTAATTCGAAACGAATCGAAATGGGAACAACGCAACATGAAAATCCACTAGTTACGAGCGACCAATGAGGCGTCACCAATTTATTGTGATAGAAAAATGTGAAGAGAGAAAAAATCCTTTACAACTATAACACAATGATGGAGACTAAAGTCAAATTGTTTCCCTTTTCTTTTCGTGTTCTCCAGTCCACGTTGAAAGAGTTACGGCTTCGTGCAATTGACCGTGCACGGGTTTTACTTACGGATCGGAATCTGGGCCCATCGAGCGCCTTTGGTATTTCAAGGAAAATGCTACATTTAATTTAGACCTTTGCTGACTTTGTTAGACGGTTTCGGGAAAGGGGTTCGACGTGTGGTGGAGCTACTTACTTTATATTGGAGTCAGGGAGAATGGAAAGGGATGTAATCAGTATGTAGATTGATGAAAATTACCAGAACTTCAGTTAGGGACGATAATTTTGCGTTTCATTTAATTGTATGCTAATATTATATAGTAGGTCTTATTTAGATGCTAGACACTTAAACAAGGTTTCATTACATTACGTTTCATGCTTTCGTTCTATTTAAAAAATAAGAAAACCGTAGCCTCTTTTTTAAGGGGAGAAATTCTTCGAATGGCTTCTCCCGCCTGGGTGAGGCGGGAGGGAGTGTCAGACTCTTACTGACTACAAACCACCCCATTCCTACTCCTGCTCCGGCTCGAAGCCGGAGCCCCGGTAACCCGGTTCTCCGCGGTAAAAAAAATCGTAGCCTTTATTTACGATACGTGTTTATGCATTCTCGATGTTCTCAATAATCCCAACGCCTATAGTTTTACGTTCTACGGAACAAACACACATTTCGGTTTTATTTCATTCCGATACTGAGTAACCTCTCCCCTAAAAGTTAGGAGTACAAACCGCACTTATCACTGGCGCTGGCGTTGTTTTCAACAATCCACAAATGTTTCAAACTATTTGTAGTGGTCTGATTGTGTTCGAATTATTGCGCAGTTGTATCATTATTTCATGCAGCCGGTTTTTTCAGTTTTATTTATCCGATTTTAAAATGAATCCATACCGCAGAATGAGGGGATTTCTGAATGAAATGTCTATAAAAGAACAATCTTAGAAACTTAGAGAGATGAAAAGATATTGAGGATCAAAGTTTCACTGAAGATACCGCGGGACCTACAAGTTTTAACAGTTTTAACGCAATTGTTCGTCATCATTCAATTGGATTGGATCAATCGCAACCGATTCGAGAATATCTTCTACAAGTTTTGCTAGCCTGATACCTAAAAATTTATTTAAAGTAAGAGTAGTCGGTAATTTTTCAAAATTTTGATCAAATAGTCTTATGTAAATCTCGGATTCGAACGTTAGGTCATCGAAAGTTTCAATTTCCAATAACGGTTTTCAAAAAACCAAAAACTAGTGACAATTATTAGCAGGCACTGATAAGTTAGAAGTCGGTGCCATAAGCTTATTTATACAAAACTAGCTGTACCTCGCAACTTCGTCTGCGTTCCCATAACAAAATATAAAGTAGTTAATGGTCACAACTGGTATAATCCATGATAAAATTGTAAACAGCCCAATCATGTTGGTATCTATTAAAAATTTAATGAATAATTTTATTTAAAACTTGTGGCATCGACTTCTAACCTATCAGTGGGTGTGTAAGCTATAAGTACGTGTGACCAATAATAGTTATTTTTCCTTTTTAGTTTTTACTATTCGTTTGTCATTAGTTTTTTGAAGTATGTTTCTTTTTCAAATTGTTTTGGTTGGTTGACCTTTACGTAGTGTACTACGCTAACATTAGTTAGAAGTATAACTATTAATAACTAAAAAGTACCTATTACGTAAAGGCCATAGCGCTAAAAAAATGTTAAATTAATTGCGTTGCAGTCGTAAAATAATATATGTGCAATGTGCATCAATCAAAAGCTTAGGACTCTATATGTTATCCCAAGATCAATTTTTATCAGAATTCGTGATAGATAAGAAATTATTATAGTTAGCGTTATCTTACCAGTATATGAATCATCGATGGAACGTGTTAGAAGCCGCCAGCATATCATTTATCATTTATTTATTATAACTTTACGCACAAGTAAAATTAACTAACACTGTACAAAGGTGGACTTATGCATTAGGCATTTTCTGCCAGTCGACCTTACAGGTGGTAAAACATAACATTGTTGGAGACAACTCAGGTGCACACATTTTCAGAACTACTGCGAGGATTCTGCCGAGACCACTAGCTTTATTCACGTCCATGTTGCGCAACGTTCTGCAGACTTCCTATTGTCCGAATGCGAATGTCCGATACGACAAATACGACATATACGACAGATACGACCGACACTACGAATACGACAGATACGACCGACACGACAAACGTGACAGATACGACCGACACGACAGATACGACAAACACGACAAATACGACAGATACGACCGACACGACAGATACGACAAACACGACAAATACGACAGATACGACCGACACGACAGATACGACAAACACGACAAATACGACAGATACGACCGACACGACAGATACGACAAACACGACAAATACGACAGATACGACCGACACGACAGATACGACAAACACGACAAATACGACAGATACGACCGACACGACAGATACGACAAACACGACAAATACGACAGATACGACCGACACGACAGATACGACAAACACGACAAATACGACAGATACGACCGACACGACAGATACGACAAACACGACAAATACGACAGATACGACCGACACGACAGATACGACAAACACGACAAATACGACAGATACGACCGACACGACAGATACGACAAACACGACAAATACGACAGATACGACCGACACGACAGATACGACAAACACGACAAATACGACAGATACGACCGACACGACAGATACGACAAACACGACAAATACGACAGATACGACCGACACGACAGATACGACAAACACGACAAATACGACAGATACGACCGACACGACAGATACGACAAACACGACAAATACGACAGATACGACCGACACGACAAATACGACAAATACAACCGACACGACAGATACGACAAATACGACCGACACGACAAATGCGACAAATACGACAGATACGACCGACACGACAAACACGACCGACACGACAAATACGACACAAACGACAGATACGACAAACACGACAAATACGACAGATACGACCGACACGACAAATACGACCGACACGACAAATGCGACAGATACGACAAACACGGCAAATACGACAGATACGACCGACACGACAAATGCTGTAAATACGACCGACACGACAAATACGACAGATACAACCGACACGACAGATACGACAAATACGACCGACACGACAAATGCGACAAATACGACAAACACGACAAATACGACAGATACGACCGACACGACAAATGCGACAAATACGACCGACACGACAAATACGACAAACACGACAAATACGACAGATACTACCGACACGACAAACACGACCGACACGACACATACGACAAACAAGACAGATAGGACAAACGCGACAGGCACGACAAACACGACAGATACAACAGTAATGACCGGTACGAGAGACACGACAAACTCGGCAGATATTACGGGAAAATGGGACCCTTTCGGGAGTATTTTGGAAATCGGTCGACAAACGGTGGAGTAATTGGTAAAGAAAATAAAAACGTCTGGACACCTCCTTTTTTGAAGTCGGTTAAAATAATAATTTTTAGAAATGGTATGAAAAGGAGAATGCCCATGGACATACTCTTGATAAATTACTTGTGTCTCAAAATCTCTAACGGCATGAAACATTTAAAATAAAAATATATTTTTAAACAGACTTTGAATGATATTTACATTGGGATAGTTTTTTGAAAATTAATTAGTATTTTTATGTTTCCGAAGTTATAGTACGCCATTTATAGGTATGTCTGTGCCGACACATGTCAAATGACAGCATGGCAGTTTACGTACATAGACTATCGATGAACGATCCTCCTTTTTTCGAACTTTACTCTCCGTTCCCTAAATGTTATTTTTTTATTGTATTCTATTTTTTATATTGAATGTTCAATCTATTATTATAAAGTAACAACATTTACTGTAAATGGCGGCATCAGCACCATTTTGTATTTGTGAAATACCACTGGCTGGTTTACGCAAATAGAAAAAAAATCGATCTTTCATCATTATGGGTAGAACCTTATTTGACGTTTATTGCGCGTCTGTCATATTTTTGCAATCTAATACTGTTATTTCTGCTGATTTTGTTATGCTCTGTGTCGAGTCGAGCCTTTTAGTTCTTCCGTAATTCCTGTCAATCCATTGAAAATAAACATACTTTTAACGCCACAGCACGGTCTGTGTTGTTTATCACTAATAACTGGACATTTTGAGTTACGATCTTGCCGAGTGCGACTGTGATGCAATGTCTCAACTACTCATAAGAAAAGAAATAGTAATAACATAACATAACATCACGCCTTTTATCCCCGAAGGGGTAGGCAGAGGTGCACATTATGCCACTGTACAATGTAACACCCACTTTTCACTATTTATGTTATGAGTCCCATGTAATAGGGGGTGAGCCTATTGCCATATACCGGGCACAGTTCCAGACTCCGTGCTACTTCTTAGAATTTTTTCAGAACCTAGTAATACTTTGCCCGACCCGGGAATCGAACCCGAGACCCTTTGCCC